GCTCCCTATGCTGATGTGCAGCCTGAGACCCTGCGAGTTCTCAACCCACAGCTTGGGCCACCCATTCTGACTGAGCCAGGCTTTCTGGGGAGGCACCCGGCTGGTCTGTGTGCACATCCTAGGTGGAGAAGCAATGGTTTCCCGCACCCCCAGGAGAGCTGGCACCCACCCTGACCTGTCTCCTCTGAAGACCTCCCTGCACCGTGGCGCTCCCAGCCTCCTGCTGGTTCTAGCTCAATTACAGGCCCCCCGGAGGAAGAGCCAGGAAGGACCCGCTGTTGTAATGATTGCTACTCAGCTCCAGTCACGTGTCAGGTGCCCTGCCAGCAGCCAGCCTGCCTTCCTGCCAGCCCCCCAGAAATACCCATGGGCAAGGGGCTTCACTAGAACTCCCGTTTTACCACGGGCAAAGCAAAGCTCAGAGGGGGTCCCCGAGTTGTCCCGAGTCACGCAGCTGGCCCAGGTCAGAGCCAGTGCACTCTGTCTTTCTGACATCCGTATGTCTTCTTGCCCTGCCCAGAGCCCGGCCCTGCCCTGAGCACACAGCAAATGTATTCACTGATTGATTTTTTCACGTGCAGTTGGAGAAAGAGGCCCTCGCCCTCCCAGCGCACGCCTGCCCCCACCCCAGCCCACGCCGTTTCTCATCCTCAGCACTTTCACCCTCTCTGGTGATTAACTGGTCACTATAAATAGCACCAAAATATAAAAAGGGGGGAAGCACACACACCAAAAAAAGAAAAAGCTATTTAAGTTTAGGGCTGTCGAAAAGAAACCCACGGAAGCCTGGGAGCGAGCCTACTGCGGCTCAGGACGGGTGCCAGTTGTGTTGGTTCGACGGGATGCAGGGGGTGGCTTGACACAGGGCAGCGAGGGCAGACGCACACCGCTGATGCCTGGCAAACTGGGTCACTGACGTCAGCTCGCCTGTCGCTGCCTGCCTTCCCAGCCCCAGCGCAGGGCGAGTCCTTCCGACGCACCCCTCCCCGCCAGGCCCCAGTAGCCCGGCCTGGAGGGAGGAAGGCATGCGGGGAGGGAGCCCCAGTGCTGGGCACACCCCAGGGCAAAGGGAGCAGGCCAGTCAGTGGTGGCACCCCTAAGGCCAGCCAGGCCTGCAAGACAGAGAGACACCAAGACCCTGAGGAAGTGGCGGAGAGTAGATTTAATTATGAGAAACAGCGATAGCTGTTAACGGAATGCAGCCCATTAAGCCAGATGCCCGAATGTTCTACAAGTCCCCACTGGTGAGGTGCGCCCCAAATCCCGCTTTGGACAGAGCCAGCTCAGCGGTGAAGATGACAGAAAGGGGTCTTGGGATCCTCAACCCCCTTTATGGATAACCAGATTGAGTTTTCAGGTCCCACAGTGCGGCATTAACACCCCCTTAGTGTCTGGCCCCCATGCTCAGAGGCCCTGCAACACCATGGGAATAGTGGGGGGTGGGGTGGGGTAGGAGGACACTGAGGGGCAGAGCTGCCTGGACCCAAGGCTGGCCACTCTGGTGTGTGGCCCCAAGTCTGTGGCCTGGGTGGAGGTCTCCTGGCAGATGAGGAGGTGTGATTCAGGAGGAGGGACCTCCATGCCTGGCACCTGTGACAGCCCCCCACCCCTGTCTCCTGCAGGTCATTGAGGACTGGAAGTACGTGGCCATGGTGGTCGACCGGCTGTTCCTGTGGGTGTTCGTGTTCGTGTGTGTCCTAGGCACCGTGGGACTCTTCCTGCCCCCGCTC